TATATATATATATATATATATATATATATATATATATATATGTTAGTTTTTTTAAAACAAAAAAAAATTAAACAAATTATTATTTTTCATTTTCGTTAGAGGAAAAGGGTATATGTGAGTCATTTATATATAAGTAGTGTAATATATAAATCACTTCATAATGAGGGAAAGTTGAGAGATATATCAGACCCTTTCCCCTGACTATTAATATAAGTATAAATTGTGATTTTACTTGACGGAGATAATTTATATTCATGTCACTATAGTGAATACTTTGGGGCTAATTTTATCTTTCATTTTAAAATACAAAAAAAATAGAGAAAAGCATTATATAAGGTAGCTATTTTTTATTTGATATTTATTTTAGGCTTAACTCATATGCATCCCTTTAAAGTTGTTCACATGTTTCATTTAGACACATTAAGTTTAACTTGTACCTATTGAACACTCTAACCTACAATTTTTTTTACTTATTTGACATAAACTGACAAACAATTGAAAAATAAAAATGTGTGTATCTCAAACACTAAAACAAAATCGATTTACCAATGAAATATTGACACGTGATATTATATTTAATTTTTTTAAAACCTTATTTAAATAATCAAAAAAGTATTTAAAAAATTTAAAAACCTTTTTTTTAATTAACAACCCCCGCCACCCCCTTTTCCCTTACACCATTGCTATCCACTCAAGCTAAAAACTCATTTTTCTTCATTGTGATAGTATGATAATCTTCTACCATTGTCTTCATCTTCTATCCATCCGTAACTATTTATTAGAATTTGAAAAAAAAACTAAAAACAAACTTTGACCCCAAAAAAATCAATTTATGTCTTTTCATGTAATAAATTGAACTTCATCGAGATATTTGAGACGTAAATTAACGTAAGTAAAAAGGGAAATAAGAAGAAGAATGACAGAGGGTGAGAGAAAGTGAGGTGGAGGGGGTGGGGGTTGTTGCAGGGATGGGGAAGAAGAGGACTGCTCCTTTTTTTAAAAAAAAAAATTATTCATTTTTTTCTTTTTTATTAATTGAGGTGCATAAGCTGAGAGAAAAAAAAGAAAAAAAATTATTTTTTGATGACTTAACGTGCTCAAAGAAAGTGAATCACAAGTATTTTTTCATGTCAGCATGCATTTTGTGTTCAATAGGAATGATTTTTTAACAAATAAGGTGCTCAATTGACACAAAAATAAGTTAAAATGTCTAAGTGAATTATGCGAACAACTTTAGGTGGCCGAAGATGACTCAAGCGTTTAGTTTAATTCCTCGTAACAAATGTTCTAATATAATAATCATTTAAAAAAAATTATAGCGATAGTTAAAAAGAGGAGACAAGGGAGTATTAACAGGAATTTCTTTGTTAGAAGGTCGCTTCGAAAACTCAATTAGAAAATTAGACATAAATCTTAATTATGTTTCGTAGTTATAGTTTTCTAATTATGATTCAATTTGACACACAATAATTAGTTTGAGAACAATAATAATAGTGAAATTTTCGCATTTAGTCTTTCAAAAATAGTTTAATTATGTTTCATATCTATAGTTTATTAATTACGATTCATAGCTACATGTTATAGCAAGGAGAGTGGCGAGCGAGATTGGGAGGGGGGAGAGACGAGCTAGAGAAGGCAGAAAGTGAAGAGAGGTAAATTGTATATGTATATTAGTTAGATAATTGTATGTATGTAACTACTATGTATGTTTCAATTATAGTATTTATGTATGTGCGTATAATTTGAATTCACATACAACTGAATCGAGTTAAAACATTTGTATTTGTATGTCTAATCTCTATCTCGCTTTATTCAAGTACAAATATTTATAATTATAAAGCGAGAGAGATTGGCTGAAGAAAATGTATTTATATACGAACACACTTGGATACAATGTACTTAAAACAAATTACACATAATATTGACTTCATGTATCTTGAGATACATGTATCTGAATGTACTTGGATACATTAAAATCTTGTAAGATTTATAGTATCTAAGTAATAATGTCCACAATTAATAAGATTTATGCAAGTTTTCCTAAAAAATATCACATAAATTAAAATAGAAGTAATAAAAGATACTAATGACATCTATTATATGCAATCTTGTTTGACTGTTGGCATTTAAAGTTTAATTACTCTTTTCAAATTTCTATTTGACTAATTATGCTTAAAATCATATTATTTCCCCTTTTTTTTCCCTTAACTTTGAAGTTTGACCCTACTCCTTTTCACACTACCATCATTAATATTTCAACCAAGATTTCTACCATGAGTTCAGACTATATTTTAAGAAGTAAATTTTAAAATTTCTTCAATATAACTAAAAACATTAGAAAATACATTCTTTAATTCATTCTAGTTGTTGTGCATATTTAGAATAATTGATCTAAAATAGTTTTCATTTTAGAAAATTAGATTATTAATTTGCAGCTCTTTCCTTACTCAATAAGTATGAAGAAAAATAATAAAATGGGAAATAAAGTAATATTAAATTGAGACTAAAGAAAAAAAACTGATTAATCAGTCAAACAATTGTATCTACTTAATTAATGTTTTCTTAAGAATAAAAATGAAAAACAATGACAAGTAAATTGGACTTATGTACTTATACTTTAATGCTACCAATGGTCTTTGAGTCAATGTGGAGTAAATGCAAGTAAACACAAATACAAAGAGGAGATAATGCATAATTTAATTCCATTGAGCACTCTTCAACTATAAAAGCCAATGTTTTCTTCATAGTTTTTCATCATTAGCAAAACTCATTAGTGATTCACAAAAACAAAATGTCTATTTCATATTCATTTCTTGGTCTTCTCCTTGGCCTTGTCTTGCTTTTTACTCCAACTCTTTCCCTAAGAAGAGACTACTTCCTTAGAAATGAACCAAATGTTGATGATGATCATCTAGATATCTTTCATGATAAAAGATTCCCAATGAATCTTTTGTCTGCTTTTGATGATCTTTTGAATACCCCTCCTCCGGATGAATCTCCAGATGTGGCAAGTCCGGTTGTTTCACCATCTCCAGAAGAAACCTCAGGTAGTCCACCACCTATGGAAGAAACCCCCGTTACTCTACAACCTCCGGTAGAACCCCCAACTAGTCCACCACCTCCGGAAGAACCCCCAACTAGTCCACCACCTCCTGTAGAACCCCCAACTAGTCCACCACCTCCCGTAGAACCCCCAACTAGCCCACCACCTCCAGTTGAACCCCCAACTAGCCCACCACCTCCAGTTGAACCCCCAACGAGTCCACCACCTCCGGTAGAACCCCCAACGAGTCCACCACCTCCGGTAGAACCCCCAACGAGTCCACCACCTCCAGAAGAACCCCCAGCGAGTCCACCTCCTCCGTAGAACCTCCAACTATTCCACCACCTCCCGTAGAACCCCCAACTAGTCCACCACCTCCTGCAGAACCTCCAACTATTCCACCACCTCCCGTAGAACCCCCAACTAGTCCACCACCTCCCGCAGAACCCCCAACTATTCCACCACCTCCACCGCCAACTCCTCCGCACCATCACCATCATCACCACCACCACCATCACCACCATCATCATCACCATCACCACCACCACCACCACCACCACCACCACCACCACCATCACCATCCACCTCCTTCTTCAGAAGTTTCAACTCAAGATCCTGATCAGTCCTCAGACAATATCAATTGATTAGTCACCCTTATGCATACATTGCTTAGTAAAGCAATATAAATCTAAGAGTACAACAAAACAAATTTGAAAACTAGAGTTGTTTAATGAATTTGATATGTTGTTTTCCGTGAACATGTATTATCAGTTACATGGCTAATCTAAATCTTCTTCAATTCGTTTTAATTTGCCCTTTTCTTACTAATTAAATTATTATATATGAATGTTACTGATATTACTATATTGTCTATGGATTTAATTAATATTTTCCTTTTGACTTCTTAATCTTCTTCCTCTAAAAATAACAAATAAGATTTGTTTTAATAACAAAGTATAACGATTCATCATGAATTTTTGTCAAGAACATCAACACAACTATTCAAACGTTCTTAGTTATCTCTCAAACATTACAAAATTAATTGATAACAAATACATATATTACATGAAAACAACCAATAGTTCCCACTTGGTATACTTTATATATATATATATATATATATATATATATATATATATATATATATATATATA